ACTAAATACAAGTAAAATGTATCAAACCCGGTACATTTATACATAATGCTAATTTTAAACTGACAAACGTAAGCCTGATCCTAATCACACGCTGATAGATATTCGATGATATGTTTGAAAACTTAAGTTGGATTCCAATGAGTCACAGTTGTATAATAGTTAAATGGCAACACATGTTGCATTTGAAATACGAAGAGCGCTATTTCACAATTTCACACCAACATGTTTGTGATTGTAAGATTAACGTGTTCGATGCAGCTGTGATATGCGGGGGCCCAAGAAATCGCTGAGGGTAAATTGATTCCACGAGTTGTCGAGATTAAATTATTGAACGAAGGTGGTTTGGATAATCAATTACACAAATACTAATTTTTAAAAATAACAAAAACGAAACCACCATTTGTAAAACATGTAGGCTACACCATGTGATTAATGCAACACTGTGTAAAACAATTAACTATACGTAAAATACTTAACCATATGTAAAACACTTAACCATATGTAAAGCATTAGCCATATGTAAAGCACTTACCCATATGTAAAACACTTAATCAAATGTAAAACACTTAACCAAATGTAAAACACTTAACCATATGTAAAACACTTGATCAAATGTAAAACACTTAATCAAATGTAAAACACGTAACTATATGTAAAACACTTACCCATATGTAAAACACTTAACCAAATGTAAAAACTTAACCATATGTGTGTGTATTTTTTTACACGAGAAGTTGAATCCGATATCAATTAGGTGGAAGACATTTCATGTGAAACACCCACGCTCACATACGCACACACAAACACAAACATACCAGATTTTCATAATATGAATCGATGTTCGCTTTTTGAGAAAACAGCATAAAAATGACAGCTTTAATAAACTAATACATTATTAATGGTTCATTTCATTCATACGTTAATCCTTACTTCAATTACACTTTGAAAATAATCCGTCCGTTTTTTATGCCCAATGTCAATATTTAGTTAATTAAAATGTTCGGATTAGCATAATTTATTTAAGTTAATTTTAGAAAGTGATAGCTAACTTAGGCCTATATAATGCGTGGTTGGGGACAATATGATGTACAATCTACACGAGCAAAAATTTCACGCACAGGTCATTCATTGTCAGACCAGTCTCAACATGAGCAAGATAATTATAACTCTCGCCCTCTGCCTCGGTCTTGTTGGCTACGTGTCGTCAGCTGTTATGCGGGGAGAGGGAAAGATTAATTAATTATACGAGCCGACCTGCGGCGTATCATACGCCGCTATTTAGTTATTTTATTTTCTACTTTTCAGTAATTCATAATTTGCGAATTCGACAGTACTAATGCTGCCACTGAAAATATTTGCTTTAAAACACTATCAGATGGTCGTTAAGGACGATACCCCCCTCCTTTCCCCCAACCCCTACCCCACCCCCCACACTCCCCCACCCCCTTGAAAGCAAACTCCTCTTAGTTACCTCCCCTAAGTTTAAAATCGTTTGAAACTATATTATCTGCCCCTAATAGCCGTCACTAAACCCGGCTCTACGATTGTAAACATTTAGCGTGAACCACAGCTCACCAAATTTCCTAGAGAGGAAGAGAGGAGACTGCAAGGCGCGCTTACAGTTTGTTTTCTAACGTCTCCAAGAAGAGAAGTATATATATATATATATATATATATATATATATATATATATATATATATATATATATTCTTTAATGTGTCTAACTAGCATGCACGGAAATATTTGTCTGATGCCTTACTCATAGTATAATCCAGATGGTTTGGGCACATGAAGTCATGTTTTAAAAACTTCGGCTTTAGAAAGGATAGTGTGGTCAGGACTAACATGAGTTTAGGTACCCATAAGTGGACTCTTGGTCATTCTTCTGAGTTGAACACAGATTCGAACTCGAGACTTTCAGTTTAGCAGTCTAGCTCTCTACCACGACTTCACATAAATTATAGAGTAATGTATAGTGGTAATGTCGCATATATATATATATATATATATATATATATATATATATATTTATATATATATATACTCGTAGACACCATCACACTCTCTAGAAGTTAATTTAAAATTTAGATTGTACATTTCTCCAATACATTCACCCAACAAACAAAACCACCGTGATTGCTGGGTTTTTTTCAACCGTACATTTTCTTTATTTTACTAGGATCTTGTCCCAAAGGAGTGAAACCAGGCCAATCATGGTACCCCGAGGGATGTCAGAAATGTGATTGTTATAAAGGAAGCTACCAATGCTACACGTAAGTCTATTCATTTTATTCTAATTAAAAAGAATTTAGATGATATCGTCATTCACACATGCCTTATTTCCACTACTTGTGACATAATATGATTCTAATACTTTATTCAGGAAGAAAAGTTTTGAGAATTATTACTTTCTCGTATACGAAGTATTAAAGGAAATATTGAAGTCGTGCAAAAAATCGAATTCGAGATTTTCAAAAATCTCGACGTTTTATACCTCCCTGAGTCGAAAAAACTTAGTTTTGCAATAATGTGACCGTGTGTCTGTGTGTGTATGTGTGTGTGATGTGTGTATGCTTGCCATTTAACAGGATACATTGAGTGCCGTTACAGCTAGTTTGATGAAATGTCATATATATATATATATATATATATATATATATATATATATATATATATATATATATATATATATATATATATATATTTATATATATATATTAGTATTATATCACATTTTCGTTCGGTATTAACTTTTCAACGATTTCCGGTAAACGGAAGTGGAACTTAGTCTACTTTCGGTTTTTCAAAAGCTTATAACTTGAGCACTGTTTCTGATAGACAAAATAATTTCACATATAAGTAAACGATCTAATTCTCTGTTTTCCGTCAAATGTGTTGTAATTTCCGGAAGTAGTACTTTAAGCTATTTCCGATTTTACAAAAAGCTATATGAATATATAAAATACTAATGTCCCGCGCTATTTTACTCGTATTGTTTCCTGTTTAGTTGGTGCGTAATTCTTTTTCCTAAGAGATTCCATTCTATTTTAAATATTTAAACATTGATTAAAAAGCATGTCTATATCCCAAGTTGCCATCCCCTGTAGTGTTTTATAAGAATATTCGAGAAAGTTTAGGGGAGATCACTCCCTTTTTTTATTTTTAGATACGTTGTCTTAAAAATTCCCCATGAACAAATCGTTAGTGTGCTCTTATGTGAATTATTATTAGATTTACATGCCAGCTGCGACATGGTGGAAACATTGTGAACTGACAGAGCTACCGATCACTAATTCGCCCTGCTCTTTGTACATCTTTTCAGATGCGGTAGTGTCAGCTTCCCACCAGAGTGTAAGGCTACCTACGAAACGACCAAAAAGTACCCAGATTGTTGTGTTCCTAAACTTGACTGCCCACAGAAGTAAATGAAAAATCAAGATGTTTTGAAGATTCTAAACATAATCAACTGAAATTTAATTTTAAAACTCCACTTCTGTAAACGAAAATGAAATCTAACATCTGTCTGATTGATTTTGTGTTTATCAATTTATTTTTAGAACGTGCGCACGTGTGATACAATAAAAATGTGGGGGTGAAATGAATCTGAAATGTAATGTCAGTGGCGGCACAAGGGCATGTGTCACCCGGTGTGGTAATTGAGGGTGTTACCCTACCCCGTTTTAAAAAACTTCGCTTTCTTTCAATATTCTACCATATTAACTGGTTAAAGCATTGTTTTGTAATTACATTCTATTTTTTTGCTTATTTCGTGTCACCCTCTAAATGGTGTCACTTGGTTCTGACCTTACAAACAATCTACGACTTGTGAAGCTACTTCTTTAACCTTGCAAAAGCTACATTGTATATTCAATAAGAATTCAGCTTTGTGCAAACAATCGCAATTATTTTTAATATCAATTTGCTAGAGGATTGATCGGGATTCAGAGGGCACGCGAGAAGTGAACAAAATAAATTAAAATGGAAGATTGATCAGTGCAGTACACTTTGCTACGACGGTGGCGATTTGACAGCTTCACATAAGATGTTGCAATATTAGCACGATAAATCTTTGACATTATTTTAAAAAGTTGGGCTTAAAGGGTAGTTCTGTCGGAGGTAAGTTTTAAAGATGTGTTGAAAATATAATCTACTATATACAAATGAAATGGGCTATGTGTCTACGTATGTGTGAATGCAAAATGTATCTGTGTGGAAGGCAGCGAGAACGACGTCACGAGAAACTAAGAAGAAATATATATATATATATAAAGCAAAGTGGTCGGGTACCCGATAGGGCACTTCCCGGCGTCACAGGCGCGTCAAATTTTGGCAGAATCCTGCCTTGGGTCAATAGAACACGAGGACCGGTGCCGGTTGGCCGAAAAATTCACGAAGAGGGGTCAAAAGTGACCTCGACTGACCTCGACTTTGTATACGATGGTATTTTGTTCAATTTCTGGTTTCTTAAATACCGAAAACATAAGTGCCTTTTCAGGTAATTGGGAAAAATGTCATAAAAAGGTTAAAAAAATATTATTCTTTTGAATCCTCTGAATCGTGGGTAATTTCCAGTAACCGAAAGGGGTACTTTAGGGGATGTCTGATTTTAAAAGATTTTAGAATATATTTACGATATAAAATCATCAAATTCTTACGGTTTCTGAGAAATTGGAAATGGAGTAAAGTGTCCCTTTTTGATTACCGGAAATAATTCAAATGTTATAGAAAAATAGATAATTTTTATACATAATTTTTAGTCACCCTAAGAATACTCAAGTTATACGTTTTTTAGAAAACAAAATTAAGGATATGTCAAGGAAATAAAAAATTTAAACAAATTAATTCAATTATATAATCGTGGGCTTATGTATGAAATTTCGTCTACCTGAATAAAGTAGTATTCACGTTATTTTATTTCCATAACAATAAAGCACTCGTTCCGGTTACCGGAAATCGTTAAATAATTCACACCAAAATGCGCATGCAATCTAAAACTTACGTGATAGTTTCTTTCGTCTTCCATCATAACATCTCCATCAACATGTAAATCTATAATTATAACAGGAGAGGAAAACAGCTATTACAGATGCGACATTATTGTATGGTGTCGTAATGTGCTATGAAAGTATTAATAACACGATTTTGCATTCCCAACATCATAGTTAGGAATGTACAATTATTTTACATAAACAATAAATTATTAAGTAGATAGATATAAGTAAACCTTATCATACCTGTCGGACTACGTCTCAGACGGTTGTGTCTAAAGGTATGTAATTCAATTTCATTTTTAACTGTAAGATCCCGAACAACTTGTTTTAAACATTTTAGTTAAGTCGCAGTTGCAGTCAAATAAGGTAATGATTCACTCGGCGACACCTGTTCGATTTAATTAACGTAGAGCAGAACTTCAAACAAAAATGTTTACAAAGGGAAGGTTTGATAATGAGCTAAAGTATTTAGCATATAAAAAGTACACAACATAACTAAAAGTAACACATAACTAACACGTAACGAATTATTACAAAAACGGATTAAGTATATGATATTTATTTCTTACGAACTGACGCGCGTCGTATAATATTCCGCTATTTAGTTGTTTTATTTCCTACTTTTCAATACTTCATAGTTAGTGAATTCGACACTACCCTCTCTTCCATTCCCCCCCCCCCCCCCAGCGAGGCAGCCTTCCGTGACGACAGTTTACGACGAAAATGAAAAGATCAAGCAGAACTTCTGACATCTCCTTAGTTTCAAATCGTTCAAAAGCTAAATTATCTGCCTCTAATAGCCGTTACTAATTCGACACTGCTCTACGGTCTTAGGTACTTTGACCATAGGGGGTTTGACCACAATGGGTTTGACCACAGGGGGTTTGACCACAGCGGAGCTTTGACCACAGAGGGTGGTTAACCATAATATATAGATTTTAAAATAGAAATTAGAAACTGTTATTTGATTTAAATTTATGATACATTTCATACGATTTTATACATGTTTCCTGAGAGTCCATTAATTGAAATTAACATGTAGGCCTACTTTAAAAATTCAATAACGATATTTTAGTCTCCACATAAGGGGTGGTGGTAGATTTATTTTAAATAGAAATCAAATAATGAGACATAAAAAGTTTCACAAATAAATAATGTAGATGAACCTGAAAATGCATAGCATACATTAAGGATAAAAAAGCATGCTAACAGCATAGTCAAAGAAGTAATACTTGTATGGTTAACTAAATGGCAGTTGTGCTATAGCACGCAAATATAACAGTACATCCAGAGGCGTAGCGAGGGGGGGGTGCGGACCGCACCGGGTGACATCACTTAGTGGGGGGGGTGACACCAAGGCAAAAAATAGCAAAATATATAGAGAAAAACTTGAGGGGGGGGGGGGTGCAAACCGAAAGTTCGAGGGGGGGGGGGGGGGAGGGGGTGCAAATCGAAAATTTGAGGGGGGGGTGCAAATCGATAATTTGAAAGTTTGTCCCCGGGAAGGGTCGCTACGCCTCTGGGGGTGGGGTGGGGGTGACACCATTAAGTGCCGCACCGGGTGACACCCGACCTCGCTACGCCACTGAGTACATCTGCTTGACCATATGTCCGTACACATTTGACCATATATCAGTACATCTGTTTGACCATTATGTCTGAACAGCACGTTGTAATTTTTTTTGCAGTATTCATTGTAGCTTCTCAGTTGGGTAGCTTGCTTCTGCGACACTTTGCAAGAAAGTTGTGTTTTGTTGTTTGCAGTCCATATATAGACCTTCAAGGAATGCCACATTGTTGGGTGACAACATTGGAGGAGAGACTGAAGACTGTAATGCCATCCCTCTCAAATGTTATTTGTTTATGCTACACCATCGCAAATCGTGTGTATTTGATTCCAATTTTTAAAAATTTAATCCGTACCATATATGGACCAAGAGCTTGTTATCAAACGCCCCCATTTGACAAACCACCTGTGATCAAAGATCCTCTGCTGAGAAAACACCTGTGGTCAAACCCGCTATGGCCAAAGCCCCTAAGGTCAAAACCCCGATATGGTCAAAGCCCCGCAGTGGTCAAAGCCCCTATGGTCAAACCACATTGTGGTCAAAGGTCCGCGCACCGGCTCTACAATTGTAAACATTCGGGGTGGACCTTAGCTCACCAGCATGGTGGGGGTGGGGGTTGTAGCTTTATAGACAATATATAGACAATATGTTTTCTGATAATTTTTCTAATATTGTTTTAATTTTTTTACCTTATTAAATTATCCAGCAATACGAAATTTATCTGATAAAATAATAGTTCATTGACCACTTTTAGTTAAGTTAATTTTTCTCCCCTAGATATAACACCCCCCCCCTCCCCACATAAACCCCTGGACAAAAACTACCGCGACATGTCCTCACTCTCTTACATAAACCAACTTGACATCAACCAACTGGACATAAACCACACGGACATAAACCACACGGACATAAACCACACGGACATAAACCACACGGACATAAACCACACGGACATAAACCACACGGACATAAACCAACTTGACATCAACCAACTGGACATAAACCACACGGACATAAACCACACGGACATAAACCACACGGACATAAACCACACGGACATAAACCAACTTGACATCAACCAACTGGACATAAACCACACGGACATAAACCACACGGACATAAACCACACGGACATAAACCACACGGACATAAACCACACGGACATAAACCACACGGACATAAACCAACTTGACATCAACCAACTGGACATAAACCACACGGACATAAACCACACGGACATAAACCACACGGACATAAACCAACTTGACATCAACCAACTGGACATAAACCACACGGACATAAACCACACGGACATAAACCACACGGACATAAACCAACTTGACATCAACCAACTGGACATAAACCACACGGACATAAACCACACGGACATAAACCACACGGACATAAACCACACGGACATAAACCAACTGGACATAAACCACACGGACATAAACCACACGGAGATAAACCCCCTAACAAACCTCAATCCCATTGAGACTGAGACCTCTAAACTTAAACTTAGCATGAGACGGTTAGCAATTTGTGAGTCAATTAGAGGGAAGCGAGGGAGAGAACTCTGTCATTACTCATCCCACATGATAATCCTGACTAGAAAAGACTTAATGCTTTAATTTGCATGATAATTCTGTGACAAAAAAAACCCACCTCAGCAAATTAAAACGTAGTTAACGTTTTACTTCGTCAACCATGTACCTGAATTGATTACCTTTTCAAATTACAGTCTGAAAATAAACGGGCTGTTTGTTTTCGCCAATTGTCTACTTCTAGTTTTTTTTTCAAGGCAATAGAAAGTGCGTAATTTAAATATTTAAATTAATTTTCAAATTGGACCCAAAATAAAAGTGTATATAACAAGTTGTTTCGACTAGTCAGTTGTTGAGTCTACGCCAGCAAACGTTACCACTTATCATCTGTTATCAGACCAGTCTCAACATGAACAAGATAGTTTTAACTCTCGTCGTCTGCCTCGGTCTTGTTGGTTACGTGTCGGCTTCTACGTCGTATGGAATGGGTAAGAGAAAAATTTCGTTTTCAGTATCATTTTTTGTTCAAGTTATTTTTGTTTCTGTTTTCATGTGATACGTACCAGAAAGGAAACTGCATTTCTATCAATATACAGAAGTTATTATTTTTTTAAAGTTGTATTAAATCTTTCGCCCGTACATTTATTTTTTTAGTCGCAAAAAAGGTTATACAGCTTTGTTTCCTAAACATTAAAGTTCCTTGCCTTTACCAGGAGCTTGCCCTGATGGAGTAGAGGTTGGCAAATCATGGTACCCATCGGGATGTCAGCGATGCGACTGTTATGGTGGAAGCTACCAATGCTACTCGTAAGTTTTTATTACATACCAACTAGAACACATTGTTTAACTTCTTCATCTTCTTGTGCGTTCTTAATTGAGTTTATGTTAGAAGGATTCAAACAATATGTCTAACTTCGTCGTTAAACTGGATTGTGGTCACCAGATCCGCGGGTGCCCCCTAAGTTTTTCCTTGAGTAGGGCGTATGGGGCCAATGTTTTGGATCGCGCTTGGTTGTACAAGGGGCAAAATATATTACATACCAACCATAACACATTTTTAAACTAACACTAACACTTTTTTCCGAACCCCACTTTTCATAACTTGAAACATCTGTTGATAGTTCTTTAATATAACACTAGTTCATCCCCGACAAGAATTATTTTTTCAGCGAGATTATTTAGATAAATTCTCCAAATACCTAATTTCTTGTAGTTACATTGTATTTGTAACGTTTGAAAATACGGCACTGTTATCATCATAAACAGAGTACAATTAATCTTTCTGTTGTATTTACCACTGTTTCAGATGCGGTAGTGTCAGCTTCCCACCTGAGTGCACGGCGTTTTACGATACCACCAAAAATTACCCAGATTGCTGTGAACCTAGACTTGTCTGTCCAGACGATTTAAGTGAAGATTAAAATGTTAACAAGTTCCAAAACGTTAAGAACATAACAAAATTAAAATTTAAATCCAATGCAAATAATGAAGTTCAACTTTTTTTTTACCAGCAGTTATTGAAACTGATTCCTTGTTCGTGCTTTTGCGTTTTTTCCTTTGCTGCGGCTTAAGTCCAAAATTGAGGACAAAATTCAAAACCAAACTACTATACCAAGTTGTTTTAAATTTCACATGCAGGTCAAGACAATGAGGAAATTCATAATGGCATAAAATTACACTTAATTAGATGCATTAACCCTTACTCTTTGCTCCTTATGTAACATAGGGCCTCCACTATTTCCTTTCATTTCGTTCGATCTCCGGCTATTAATTTTGCAATCTGCCAAGGTATCCCTGTTGGTTTCAGTTCTTCGAGATGACTCCGCCTGCAGGTCTGTCTTGTGCGCTCTCTCTTCTGCTTTCCATTGTGGGTGGTACATTTGATTGAGCCTTTCGCAGTGTGCCCCACCCAGCGCCACTTCCTTCTTCTTATTTGTACTATCATAAACTCCTGCATTCCTTTTGCCATAATTCTATATTCGGCACTTTGTCCTACCACTTTAATTTCAAATTCTGTCCTAGACATTTGTTCACGAAGGTCTGTATCTTCTCTGTGCTTGCCTGAGAGACTCTCCATGTCTCTGCTCATTTATAGTAAAACTCACTTGACATTTGAGTTCGTATCCTAATTTTTGTCGTGTTGTAGATGGCAGAATTTTTCAATATGGGTCGCAGAACTGTGAAATCGCAAATAACTCTACTAATTCAAAAAATTATTTCCTTATCTGTGCCTCCTGACGTGCTGATCTTGCTGCCAAGGTAGACAAACTCTTCCACATCATTTACCTGTCTTCCGTCTATTGTCACTGGGGCCTCCTGGTTATTGTTAATTCTCATCACTTCTGTCTTTTCTTTGTTGATCTTGAGACCTACGCTGAGAGATGGCCCCTATTGCATCAACTTTTTCTTGCATGTCTTGTAGCCTATAGTTAACACTGTGCAAATACCAAACAAAACACGAACATTAAGTAAAACAGGTGGAATATATTGTTTTTTATATTTTTGTTCTTTTTGTTTCACCTATGAGATGACTCTAAACATTTTGAGGTAAACATTGGTCTATGCCTATCTTCTTATAATTCTGATCATCAGTTTGCATAATACTTTGCAAATACCAAACAACATATAAAAAACGATAATTAAGTAAAACATGTGGAATAAATCGTATTTGATATTTGTGATTTCTTTATTTTTCACCTATGAGATGATTTCCAATATTTTGAGGTAAACATTGATCTATGCCTAACTTCTTATAATTCATAACACTTATTTTATACTTTAAAGTAGAAGGGTTATCGGCGAATGAAGTACAGTTCGATTTTATTATATGAAGAAAACTTTATACACATTTATTTGAAGCAAAACAGAAACACGGGAATATAGCAGACATCGGGATAACGCATAATAACACAAACAACAAACAGATACATAATACATTCAGATAAAAAAAGGTTAAAAACAGGCACATTGATAAAAAGACACCAACACATACACAGTTAACACCTATCACAAGCCTCTGTATAGTTGCTTAGTCCAGTGGAGTAGACAGAAATATATATGAATATGTATATATATATATATATATATATATATATATATATATATATATATATATATATATATATATATATATATATATATATATATATATATATATATATATATAATTATATATATATATATATATATATATACATATATATATTTATTTATTTATATTTATATCTATCTATCTATCTATTTATATATATGTATATATGTATATATGTATACATGTATACATGTATATATATATATATATATATATATATATATATATATATATATATATATATATATATATATATATATATATATATATGTATGTATGTATGTATGTATGTGTGTGTATTATAATTAAAATTTGAATAATGTGTAATGTAAAAATAAACTGGCATAATCGTTACGCCGTCAATATTATTATTTGGTTCCTGAGAAGGATATAACACCACATCGAACACAACCATCACTACCTTCACCACTGGCTTACGCTATACTTGTTTTCAGTTTTAAAAGAGAGCAGCACACTAGAAATAACCTTGTCAGCAAATTTACATGTATTTAGTGTCACATCTGATTTAATTACACGATTTAAATTACTATCTGATGAGAAATTAACTGCTTATTTACGTCAAATTTCAACGGATATTTATTCTGAAGCAATCCAATTTGCATAATTTATTGAAATTAACTTTAAAGCACGATTACAAATGTAGGTTTTAGATCTATATAATAAGTGGTTAGGTGTTTAGTCTACTCTAGTAAAGATTTCACGTAGTGATCACACAGTACCAGTCCAAAATGAACAAGATAGTTTTAACCCTCGTCGTCTGCCTCAGTCTAGTCAGCTGCGCCTCGGCCTCAGTATCCATGGGATTAGGTAAGAGATTTAAATTAATTTAATTTTTTTTGTACGTGATATTAGTTACTTTTTTTCGTTTTGATCTTGTCCTTAAAGTAGAGTAGAAACAATGCAAGCTGTCATAGTGTGGAATTATTTTGTGACTGGTAAGACGATACAGTAATACATAAAGAATGACTAAAGAATCTTTAGGGTTAGTTTGTATTGATCATAGAGAGTATTTGCTGTTGTTTTATCTGTATTAATGTGTACAGTGTGAGTATGGCGAGACGAGTACAGAGTAATTACTAGACATGATTTGGGGATAGTTTATGAATAAGATAGTGACAACATGAGTTGAATTCTGCATAGCAATTACAAGTATTAATCTTTAATGTGTCTAATTAGTATGCACGGAAATGTGTCTTATGCCGTACTTATCAATGAAGATATGGTGTCATCCAGACACTTGGGCAGATGAAGTAGAGCTCATCTGTTTCAAAGACCTCCTCACAAGAATGTATAGTGTGGTTAGGCCTAACGTGAGTTAGGTACCCATTAGAGCTGAGTGGACTCTGGGACATTCTTCAGACTTGAACCTGGATTAGCGGTCTAGCGCTCTACCGCTAGACCACGCCTTCACCTAAGTTATAGTGTAATTTATAGTAGTAATGTCGCAGATAAATATAATCGTAGACCCCATTACACACGCTAGAATTTTTAATTTAAAATTTAAAATTTGGATTGCATATTTTGCCAATACATTCACCCAACAAACAAAAAACACCGTGATTGCTGTTTTTTTAAGCGAACATGTTCGTTTTTTCACCAGGGTCTTGTCCTAAAGGAGTGAAACCAGGCAAATCATGGTACCCCGAGGGATGTCAGAAATGTGACTGTTATAAGGGAAGCTACCAATGCTACACGTAAGTCTTTTCATTTTTTTTAGTTTAAAAAGAGTTTTTGATTTACTCTTCATTTACATATGCCTTATTTCCACCACTTGTGAAATATATTAATGATACTAATAATTCATTCCAAATAAAATTTTTCGAGAACTATTACTTTCTCGTTTAAGAAGTATAAAGGAAGTATGTAATCGTGAAAAAATCGACGTTTTATACCTCCATGAGACGGAAAAAATAGTTTTGCAATTGTGTCCGTATGTCTGTGTGTGTGATGTGTGTATGCTTGTCTTTGAAAACGATAAATTAAGTACCTTTACAGATAGGATGATGAAATGTCATATGTATTAATATCGTATCAAATTTGTAGTTCGGTATCAACTTTTCAGCGATTTACGGAAACCGGAAGTGGAACTTAGTCTACTTTCGGCTTTTTAAAAGCATATTACTTAAATACTGTTTCTCTGATTGACAAAATTTCACATATAAGTAAAAGATCTAATTCTCTGTTTTCTGTCAAATGATTTGTAATTTCCAGTGCCCGAAAGTAATACTTTAATCTATTTCCGATTTCTCAGAAACTTATATGAATGAATAAAGTGCTATTGTTCCTTACTATGTTAATTTTACACGTATTGTTTGCTGTTCACTTGGTGCGTAATTCTTTTTTTTCTACGCGATTCAATTCTATTTTTAAAAGCTAAATTTTATAAAATTGATTAAAAAGCATGTCTATATCCCGAGTAGCCATCCCCCGTAGTGTTTTATAAGAATACTCGAGAAAGTTTAGGGGAGATCACTCCCGCTTCATTTTTAGGTAAGCTGTCTTAAAAAATCCTTGTGAACATATTGGTAGTGTTATTAGATTTACATGCCAGCTGCGACATGGTGGAAACATTGTGAACTGACAAAGCTATATGGTACGAGCCGGCCCGCGGCATAACATACGCCGCTATTTAGTTGTTGTTTTTTCTACTTTTCAGTAATTCTTAATTTGTGAATTCGACAGTACCAACGCTGCCACTGAAAATATTTCTTTAAAACACTATAAGTTGCACGTTATGGACCCTAACACCCCCTTCCATCCCCACCCCCTCCGTCCCCACCCCCTACGTTTAAAATCGTTTCAAACTAAATTATCTGCCCCTAATAGTCGTCACTAAACCCGACTCTGCTTGTAAACATTTAGAGTGAACACAGCTCACTAAGATCATGAAAGGGTGGGGATGGTAAGGAGCGCGTTTACATCTTGTTTTCTAGCGTCTCCCAGAAGAGAATTATATTTATAGATGTTTTCGATCATAATTTGAGATCACTAATTCACGCTGCTATTTTATCATCTTTTTCAGATGCGGTAGCGTGAGCTTCCCACCTGAGTGTAAGGTTACCTACGACACGACCAAAAAGTACCCGGATTGCTGTGTTCCTAAACTTGACTGCCCACAGAATTAAATGATAAATCAAGATGTTTTCAAGATTCTAAACATAATCAACTGAAATTTAATTTTAAAGCTCCACTTCTGTAAACGAAAATGAAATCTAACATCTTTCAGGTTGTTTTTGAGTATATCAATTTATTTTTAGAACGTGCTCACGTGTGATATAATTAAAAAAATGTGGGGTGTGAGCGAGATGGATCTCAAACATACAAGTTAACTTAAGATCTGAAAAATGTAACTTTCATGCAATCTCTTTATTGAGGTAAATATTTAAATATCGCCACTCCATACTGTATTTTAAACTAGCTTATTTATATACTAGAAAACCATTATTAAACGATAACAATAGGGTATTTAAAACAAAATGTAATTTCTTTATAATAATGATTTATATAATTCTCAAACAATTAGTCCACATAATCAAAACAAGCACCAAAAAAAAAACCGAAATTAAGAAACAGGTAAACAATAATCATAAAAACAATAATCATAATAGTCCATTATGGCTAAAATTTAACAAATGAACACTTTTTTCTATAACATGATCACGAATGTTGAAATAGTTCTCTGAAAACATTTCACGGCCATGGCAATGTATATTTATTATGGCAACATATAAACGCTTAAACATTACAGCTGTTTACAACATGGCCTGCAGTAGGCCCTACTTGAAACATGGAACATTTTTTTTTTAATTTGAATAAGAGAATAACAAACTAACTACAAGTACAATGTATCGAACCCGGTACATTTGTACATAATGCTAATTTTAAACTGACAAGCGTAAGCCTGATCCTAATCACATGCTGATAGATATTCGATGGTTTCGTTTGAAAACTTAAGTTCGATTCCAATGAGTCACAATTGTAAAATAGTTAAATGGCAACGCATGTTGCATTTGAAATACGAAGAACGCTATTTCACAATTTTCACACCAACATGTTTGTGATTGTAAGATTAACGTGTTCGATGCAGCTGTGATATGCGGGGGCCCAAGTAATTGCTGAGGGAAACCCGATTCCACGAGTTGTCGAGATTAAATCATTGAATGAGGATGGTTTGGATAATAAATTACACAAACGCTAATTTTTAAATATGACAAAAAACGTAACCACACTTTGTAAAAACATCTAGGCTACACCATGTGATTAATGCACCACTGTGTACAACAGTTAGCTATACGTAAAACACTTAACCATATCTAAAACACTTAGCCATATGTAAAAAATTTAACCATATGTAAAACAATTAACCACATGTAAAACCTTAGCCAAATATAAAGCACTTAATCATATTTTAAACACTTAACCAAATGTAAAACACTTAGCCATATGTAAAACACTTAGCCATATGTAAAACACTTAAATAAATGTTAAAAACTTAACCATATGTAAAACACTTAACCAAGTGTAAAACACTTACCCATATGTAAAACACTTAGCCATATGTAAAACACTTAAACAAATTTAAAACACTTAACTATATGTAAAACACTTACCCATATGTAAAACACTTAACCAAATGTAAAACACTTAACCATATGTGTGTGTATTTTTTTACACGAGAAGTTGAATCCGATATCAATTAGGTGGAAGAAATTTCAAGTGAAACACCCACGCTCACATACGCACATACAAACACAAATATACCAGATTTTCATAATATGAATCGATGTTTGCTGTTTGAGAAAGCAGCATAAAAAATGACAGCTTTAATAAACTAATACATTATTAATGGTTCATTTCCTTCATACGTTAATCCTTACTTCAATTACATTTTGAAAATAATCCGTCCGGTTTTGTATGCCCAATGTCAATATTTAGTTAATTGAAATGTTCGGATTAGCATAATGTTTCAAATTAATTTTAGAAAGTGATAGCTAACTATCAAGCACAAGTCATTCATTATCAGACCAGTCTCAACATGAGCAAGATAATTATAACGCTCGCCGTCTGCCTCGGTCTTGTTGGCTGCGCGTCGTCTGCTGCCAGGGATTTTAAGGGTAAGATTAATTAATTATATATACTCGTAGACACCATCACACCATTGGAAACGGGGTAGGGTAACACCCTCATTTACCACACCGGGGTGACACACGCCCTTGTGACGCCACGGACATTACCAAGTGGTACCATAGCCCAACATCAATAACCTGAGTACGACTATACGTCTTGTTGTTTATCTCCCCTGTTACCATAGCCCAACATCAATAACCTGAGTACGACTAATCGCCTTGTTGTTTTTCTCCGCTGTTCAGGTGCGGAGTCGCCGAATATCCCCCTGAGTGTAAGGTGAACTTCGACTACACCAAAAAGTACCCTGCTTGCTGTGATCCTAACCTTGAATGCCCATCGGAAGATGAACGTGTTTACGATTATTAAAACGTAAACAAGGGAAAAATTAATTGAAAATAAATAAAAAAATTCAAATCTAACACAGTTTTACGTTTTTTTTAAAAAATGTTTTATCTTGAGTTTAAGAATTAAGAAAGAAACGTAAAGGGTTCGTGCTTTACATGGATAAAATACACACAGAGAGAGAAGAGAATTATGGGAACAATATCAACTAATGTAAGCAAATTAAGTTCTCTGTTTTATGACCTCGGCATATGAGGGAATAATGTTGTCTCCACTATGCCCAGCCGCCTTTAATTTCCCTAACGTGAATTAAAAACACATTAACTGGAAGTTGTAGACACTTTACTTCAGGTATCCCGAAAGCCAATAGCTAGAGCCAGTGTAGCGAGGGCGGGGCGGGGATGCGGACCGCACGGAGTGACACCATTTAGAGGGGTGAAACCAAGGCAAAAAATTGAATACTGTACTGAAGAAAAATACTTTTTTGCCAGTTCCATTAACGATTAATTAAAGTTAAATAGTCTTTTAAGTACAAATCGACCATTATTACAAGAGTGTGGGGTAACACCATGACGTACAAGTGCAAACTATAGAAAAAACAACGCTAAATCCAATTGTATTATTAACACACTAAAGGTAAACATCGTTACTATTAATTGTGCAGTAATTAAAGCTTATAAAATACATGTACGCGTATGTGGTGTATATTTAAATTATACACATATGTAGGGTGTAGTGGGTTAAGGAGGTGTTACGCCACACGCATGCGTATCGAAAGCTTGTTTTGAAACTAAACAGTTTTTACGCTGTTTTATATCTCTTTATTTTTGTAAATTATAATACAATGGACCCGTCGACTAGACACAATGATCAATAAAGTTAAATGTGTTCCATTTCACTTAAATATTTTAGAAAGAAATCTTTTTTTAAAAATTGCAATGTAAGGTGCACTTGTGTGTATGGAGGAAGGAGAGGGGTCGTTAAAGTTTTGCGTCATTTTGTGTGACAACGAGAGACTAAAATCGCCTTTAAAAAGCATTACGTAATTTATGAACGCGGATAATTACATTAAACGTAAGTGCTGGAGTTTTAACGAACTATTAAAGGTGTGTTGCCAGGCAACACTCTCTCACCAACACACACACATTTCATATACCCGCACACAATTGACCGTCGATTTTTAAAGGTTAAAGAGACAAAAGGAGAATCATTTTTTGTGTGTTTGCGATTTTAATGAACCACAACACAGAAGGGACGACTACAATCTAGACTTGAGTCTTGAAGAGGTCAACTCGCACACTTGTTTGACTGGAGAAGTTGGAGCTGAAAATGAATAACATGACATTTATAAACAGTAGGCCTACTGTCCTTATCTTGGGAGAAAGTAAACAGCAGTGCTTCCTGCAAGACAACCTATCTATCCAATTGTATGTAATAGTAAACAGGCCGTTTTCTAAATATGACGTATATGAATATACGTTTTCTTCAGACATCTCTTCGTGGGGTGGTGGTGGAAGTGAGGGAGGAGAGGCAACCCCGTAACGGACGAAAAAAAAAACATTTACACACACACATATATATATATATATATATATATATATATATATATATATATATATATATATATATATATATATATATATATATATATATATATATATATATATATATATATATATATATATATATATATATATATATAGTGGCGGAACTAGAAAAAAGGGCCACCCCGCAAAAAAAAAATGTTGGGCCCCATATATATATATATATATATATATATATATATATATATATATATATATATATATATATATATATATATATATATATATATATGAGTGCTATTAGTATTAGTCTGCTTTGAATTTATTTTTTTGCGTTTTTTTGTATTTAAAATATTAGTTTTTAATACATTTCCTTTTTATACTTTGTCATTCTTTATTATGTATTTTATTTAAATAATTAAGAGAAGTAATTGCTTTTTAATTTGTTTAGTGCAAATTTATTAAAAGTTTCTAAAAAACACACATAGTTGACTATTTAAAAAAAGGGAAATAAGTCATGGAAGTGATTTGAACGTTTGCCAATCTTTCACACTACGACTCCTGTAGCCTGTATATTTTTTTCCTTTACGAAACAGCGTGTGTTAGCTACTGTAGAACATCACTACTGTAGTAGATCTGTTTGTTTTTTTACAAGAAAATTATTTTTTTTAACTATAAAAACATTGATTACGGTCGGCGGTGGAAAGTGTTGGGAAATAATTTTCATTGTTCAAACTGAAAGTGATAATTGTCGGCATGTTCGTTAAACACAAGTTTTAAAAATTATCATCTTTTACAAAAAATTCTAATTATGTCTTTATTTAGTCCTTTAGCTCTTACTTCCCTTTGATAAATTAGGAAAACACAATTACTTCCCTTTATAAAAACATTGCATTAGTGGAAAATAATTTACTTTTTATTACTTTGTTTTGGTGTTGGGAAAAAAAATAATTACATAATTAGCGGGGATTGATCAAGTGCAAATGTTGTAGGTATTTTACGGATAAGCTTGGAGTATTATAATTGTTCATTAAATTGAAACAGGCGCGTTCGTTTAAGTGAGTGCAAAAGACTATGAATAAGTTGGGGTACTATAGTCGTTTATTAAGCTGAAACAGGCGATTCCGACCCGGGCTAGACTGTGAGCACTTTGCGTTTATGTTCGCGTTAGTGTTTTCTTTGTGTTTAGGTTGGGTTTGCGTTAGTGGTTGCGTTTTGATTTGGTTCGTTTTTGTTCTTTCTTTTTTCGTTTTTGTTTGTGTTTTTTTCTTGGGTTTGTATTTGTGTTTGTGGTTGGTTTTGCGTTTGGATTTGGTTTTTTTGTTTGCTTTTTCGTTTTTTTTCTTTGTGTTGGTAATAGTGTTTGTGGTTGTGGTTGGGTTTGTTGTTAGGTTTTTGTTTTCGTTTACTTGTTTGTTTGTTTTTTCTTTGTGTTTGTATTGGTGTTTGTGGGTGTGGTTGGGTTTGTTGTTAGGTTTTTGTTTTCGTTTGTATTTGTAATTGTGTTAGCGTTATGTTTGCGTTTTGTTGTTTTGGTTTTGGCTGGTTGTGGTTTGGATGGGAAATGCCGGATTTATGATGATTACTAAACACACAGGTAATAGTCTTTAACAGAAAGGTTTTGAACAGGAGCCAGAGCAAGGCCTGGCCGGGACGGCTAGTATATATATATATATATATATATATATATATATATATATATATATATATATATATATATATATATATATATATATATATATATATATACTTCAACCATTATCCGCCCCCAACCGGAAATCTTAATTTTCTCCCTACACTTACAACACTTACAACTACTATGCCTCACGTTATGCAGTAGAGCGAGTAGGGTAATGTAACACTGTATAGTGTATTTTATTAATTGAAAATTATACAAAATATATATCTAAATCATGCGTAAAATAATCGAAATTATATTTAATAAAACGAATGTTAGATACGTTAAATCAAGCTTGGATTTTTTTTTTACCTTTTAACCATGTTTAAAAAATTTGAGAGGTAGTCCCCCGTTAGATTGATGCCCCTGGTTGTTAGCATAGTGCCCACTGTTGCCCTGTTGGTGCCCCGCATTGTGCCCACCGCCCTTGCCCTGGGGATAAGACAATATAAAATAGTCAAGCAAGCTTTCAAGTTATATCTTTTAGCTTGTGTCAATTATGGTGGATAATATAATGGAGAATATAATGAAGACTACAGTGAAGAAGTTAAAATCAAGGGCATAAAGAATGATGTACTGAAGGATATAATTATTGATATAGTTAACAATATAACTATGGAAATAATGAAGTATTTATATATATATATATATATATATATATATATATATATATGTGTGTGTGTGTGTGTGTGTGTGTGTATAATAAAAGATATAATGAAGGATGTAATGAAGGATATAATAAAGGATGTAATGAAGGATATAATAAACGATATAATAAAGTATTTACAGAAGGATATAATACATTTTATAATGAAGATTATAATACAAACCAGATCACTGAGCAGAAGGCTTGCGAGCTGCAATAGGACAAAGCTTTGTGTCATTAACTATTTCTAACACATAGTTTAAAATAAATTATCCTTCTTAAACTCTATAAAGACATTTCTAAGGGTTGTGTTGTAGTTTAAAAAAAAATATATTACTAAAATCACCTAACCCACTCTTCCCTACCATTGAATCCCAACTCCCTTATTTAATCATTTGCTCCCTCAAATTATTCTCTATCCTCGATGTCTCGTCCTTGCTCCACAACAACCCCTAATCCCGTCCCCTCCTCCGTCATCTCTACACCCACAACTTACCTACACCCTGATCAATAACCTCTTCTATAAACACCCTGCTACTGATGTTCTCTAAACCAGTGTTTCTTCCAGACACTTGATTTGTATGGGGGGGGGGGGGGTGGACTAAATTCTCCCGGGGGGGGGGGGGGTTTGGGGGAGAATGTTAAAATTATATATCAATATATATAAAGCAAAGTGGTCAGGTGCCCGATTGGGCACTTCCCGGCGCCGCAGGCGCGTCAAATTTGGCACGATGGTGCCTTGGGGCAATAGAACACGAAGGCCGGTGACGGTTTGCCGAAAAGTCTACGGAGAGGGGGTCAAAACTGACCTCGACTGACCGGCGACTTATATGGGCTATTTTACGAAAAAGAACTTCCTCCGACGACCCCCCTTGATATTTTGTGAGGTGGTAGGAGAACGCCTTGGGGTGTCACAAAAAACTCGGCATATCTGGGAAAACTTCGTAAAGGGGTCAAAACTGGCCAGTTATATTTCCCTATATAATCTTTGTAGTTTATGGGAAAAACAGATGGTCATTTCAACGCGGATTTTAGGGTACTTAAACTCAGTATATCTGGCTAATTTTTTGCATACTTCTAGGTCAATGGCTTGACCTTTAGGGAAAACTGTCGGTTTCACTCAAAGCCCTCGACGAGGGCTAAAAAGTGACCGCGAGTGAAATTCTCTTTATATGAGCTCTATTACGAAAAACATTTCCTCCGACGACCCCATTTGAAATTTTGTGAGGTGGTAAAAGAACGCCTTGGGGTGTCACAAAAAACTCGCCATGTCCGGGAAAATTCGGTAAATGGGTCAAAACTGACCAGTCGTATTTCCCTATATAATCTTTGTATTTTATGGGGAAAACAGAGGGTCATTTCAAAACGGATTTTAGGGCACTTACCCTCTTTACATCTTGCTAATTTTTTGCATACTCTTAGGTCAATGGCTTGTCCTTTAGGGAAAACTGTCGGTTTTACTGAAAGCCCTCGACGAGGGCTAACAAGTGACCGCGAGTGAAATTCTCTTTATATGAGCTCTATTACGAAAAAAATTCCTCCGACGACCCCCCTTGGAATTTTGTGAGGTGGTAGGAGAACGCCTTGGGGTGTCACAAAAAACTCGGCATATCTGGGAAAACTTCGTAAAGGGGTCAAAACTGACCAATTGTATTTCCCTATATAACCTTTGTATTTTTTGGGGAAAACAGGGTAATTTCTACACAAATTTTAGGGTACTTACTCTTTTTATAACTGGCTAATGTTTTGCATACACCTCTATAGATGAATGGGCCGTATGGAAAAACTGTTGGTCAGCATCAAAGCCCTCGAAGAGGGCTAAAAATGACTGCGAGTGAAATTCTCATTATACGAGATTTGGTCATTTGGTCTATGAGCAGGGGAGTTAACTTTTTGATGTAACAATTTTTTAATATTTTGTATACTCTTTTTAAGAAAAAACAAAAATCATAAAGTATAGCATTGTTTTAAATGGATATTTTGTTATAAATTAAGTTTTGTATTGTATTTAAATTGTAAAATTAATTGCAAAAGTAATTTAATATAATATTGGATTGATAATTTTATTTTTTTGAAAGCCCTTTCAGTTCTAATAACCTTGCGAGTAATAAGTTTGCGAATATTCCATCTATTTATGGGTACAAAAAAAGTACCCCACTGTATAAATTTAGGCCCTGAGCATTTAACCTAACAGCCAATCACATATTAATTAATCATTCAATTTCTCTACTTTTTTGAAAACCTAAGCGAAGCTAGGCAGTATGCCTAGTTTTCTATAAAAATGTCCATTTCGTTCGGAAGGGGGGGGGGTAGATTTTGTGCTAGATGCCTGAAAGAAACACTGCTCTAAACTGTCACAGACTGTATTATTAGGTATCTTTATTATATTGTGTTTTACATGAAGTTGCATGAATGTAGAGTACCTGGCTAGCGGAAGGACTGTCTGAGCGACTCGTCATGTATTTTTCCATGCTTTTGGGTGAGATCGCTCATTGACATAAGGGGAGAGAATGGACCATATAAAAGGGAGAGCAAAAGATGAACGGGGTTGCTTGCTGTGAATATGAAGTAGGATGTCACCACGTCACTTTGATTCGTGATTGTACTTATACCAGTTGTTTATCTTCTACTATGGATTTACTATGGATTTATTATTTCACTGTATAAAGTGTAAATAAAGTTAAAGTTGCATAACTACTGTTGCTCGTGTGAGTATATTAAACGTACCCACAATAACAACAATGAAATTGATGTTGTTACATAAACCCCTCCATCCTTGTTCACTAAACACTGAGACTCAATGCCTTGTGGTAAGCGAAGGGTGTAGAAGTACTAAATCTATAGACCAAACGTAAGATGTACTCACCTTAAAGCTAGCTGAGGCGCTGGCCATTAGGACCATAAGAACAACGAGGGAAACGAACAGCTTATTAGCCATGACGACTCTTTCATTCAACTCTACCCAGTGACGAACCAATCAAACACCACGTTGCTTTATACCAATCCTACCAAGATCCTATCTTTAACCTGACAGGACCTGTCATTGGCCAATCGTTAATTTGCCCTATGATATAATCTCTGTCAAGATGTCAAACCCTGAATTACGTGTAACCTTTTTTTTACTCTTTCAAGGCGTTATAATTCAGTTGAAAGAAATTTGTTAAAATTTTTTGAGAGCAAGCTGTCTTATATAATTGATTTATAGCTGCACCGATTGCTGTGATATACAAATTTATACAGTGATGTAAGTAAATAAATATTAAGATTGTCCATCTGTTGTGTTAGTGCTAAGGATGCAAAAAACATGTTTCTTTCTCTGCGATTTTTTAATAATCCATTAACTTTGCGCCTAAAGCATGAATATATGGTAAGATGTAACCATTTATTTGCGTGAGTAAATATGACTAATATTCATAGAAACTAGTCTAAATAATTATAAGAAACACCACGATTGATTGTACAGTGGATTTAACAAAAGATCCCTTACGGGTAGGATGATTTAGTACTCACGTATAAATGACTTGGGACGGAGTGGTCTAGCGGTAGAGAGCTTGACTGTTAACCCGTAAGTGTCGAGTTCGAATCCGGGTTCAAGTCAGTAGACCGTCCCTGAGTCCAACCAACTCTGATGGGTACCTAACTCATTTTAGGGAAAGTAAAGGCGGCTGGGCATAATGATGACCACACTATCTCTTCATATGCCGAGGTCACCGAGACAAGCGAACTCTACTTTACTTGCCCCATAGACCGTAAGGTTTGAAAGGGAAAATTTATATTACTTTATAAATGACTCTAAATAACATTTAGGCACGATTGAGTACTAAGGTCATCTATCAACAACATTGATACAGGATTTAGTACTAAGGTGATATATAAATAACTTTGAGGCAGGATTTAGTTATAGGGTCATTTATAAATAACTTTGAGGCAGGATTTAGTACTATGTTCATCTATAAATGACATTGAAGCACGGTTAAGTATTATTTAATACCAGGGTCGTATGAATGACATTTAGACAGGATGTAGTACTAAGGTCATGTACAAATGACTGGGATGCACGGTTAAGTATTAGTGTAAGTATACATGACATTGATGTATTATTTAGTTCTAGAGTCGTGTATGAATGGCATTGAGGCGGATGTAGTGCTAAGGTCATCTATAAATGACATAGATGCAGAATTTAGTATTGGGGTCACCAATAAATAACGTAACAATACTAGAGACAACCGTTGAACCACACCCTCCCCCAACACAATCGTCACACAATGTCAGCCACATTTCATGACCCCCTCCCCCAACACAATCGTCACACAATGTCAGCCACGCCATAAATGCCGTCATAAAGTCCCAATCCACAGTGAATCTTTATCTTAATCTTCATTCTTCATAAAAAAAAAATAATTGTTACTTCACATTTCATGACCGCCTCCCCCAACCCCCTCCCCCAACCCCCCTCCTCACGTCTCACTTGTCATACGTCATCCCCGTGGGTGTGTGCCGTTATTTATTGATTTGAACAATGATAATTTTTGTGCCTCCTAATCTGCCCCACCTCCACCTGATTCTCCCCTCCCCCAACTGCGTTGCCTGTCAAGACAATACAATCTTTTCACAAGGGACGTAATTCAAATGAAAACAAAATTTTACAAAGTACGGACAAATTCCCCTTAAAATTGCTAGAGCTAAGCACATGATAATCGTAACGAAAATTCTTGAAATGATTTTTTTTTTTAAATTTACAATTTGTTTACGTGTAATTTGCAGCGATAACATTAGTTAGACACGTACTTACAAACTAAGAACATTAGAGGAAGTTTAGAGGAGATCACTAAGCAATGAGCATAAAATTCGAATATTCATGAATAAATTCAAATATAAATTAAGTCAAATAAAATGTACTCAAAACACAAGAATGGAAAAGTATATTTTTGCTACGTTTATATCACTATCGCGTTGCAAGGTCGCGTGTCACCCGGTGCGGCATTTCGTGGTGTCACCCCCTCCCGCCCCCAAGAAACAAAGTATATATATATTACAAATATATATATATATATATATATATATATATATATATATATATATATATATATATATATATATATATATATATATATATATATAGGGCTATATATATGGCTACAACAGTGGCCATTTGACAGCTTCACATAAGGTGGTGCAATATTAGCACGATAAAACTTTGACATTATTTAAAGAAGCTGGGCTTAAAGATAATTCTATACAAACATGTAGTAATTCACTTCTCAACTCGTCGACGGTAAGTTTACAAGATGTTTTTAAAACGTAATCTACTATATACATATGAAATGGGTTCTGTTTCTCTGTATGCGTGTATGTAAAATGTATCTAAATGGAAGACACGCATAAAGTAAAAAAAAAACACAAAATTCAAAAACTTTCACAGGCAGCGAGAATGACGTCACAAGAAACTAAGAAGAACTAATCGTATAAGTCACAATAAACGAAACTTACAAAGTTGAAAGTCATAATAAAGACACAGAAAGGAATGACGTTATAAGTTGTAGATAAAAATATAATTGATAGTCAAATGTTGAAAGGATGAAAAATAATAATGACGTCATTGATAATGGGAAAAAAAGGCTTTAATAAGCACACTTTTATTTCTTACACATGTTTATATGTTGTTTTTTTTTTAAATAACATGAATCGATCGTCACATTTGTGTTACAAATTTTAACTCAACATTTTATTTGTCAACCTCAATGGGAGATGACAATGACAACTACTTCATAAATCCCAAAAATTTAGTTACTTCCCTTAACTAGTATTTATTAATTTTTAATCAAAAGCTTATATTTATTTAACTTACTCATATTTGTTTTTCTGTAGCTCCACAAATATTGGTATATTTTATTTAACCCTTTCCCCATAGTCCGATTGAGCTGAAATTTGTCACAGTGTTAGCATTTAAATGACAGTGCAGGGAATATCACATTTCTAGCAAAATCAGATGGACAATTTAATTTACTATAAGCATTTAAAATTGTTACGTTTAATAATAAAAGGGGAGATAACACTAACAATATTTATATCGATCAGTAGGCAGTCGACGGTTATCTGATTTTTTTAGGTTGGCTCATAGCTCAATTTTAGACATCACAAGACACTAGACCGATTTAACGCAAATATTTTTAGCATCTTGAAACGCATTTTTATGGAAGTTCACAACTTCTATCATCTAAACCAGGGGTCTCCAAACGTTTCAGTCCGAGGGCCGCATTAACTATCAAATTTCACCTCGGGGGCCAGTTAGTTCCAGGCATGTCTTTGATTTTTTGCTGGGCAAAGTTCCTCAGCCATCACCAACAAACGATGTTTCCTTGGACAAAAAGATGTCCTCGGGCCGGATGAGAGGACTTCGCGGGCCGCATTTGGCCCGCGGGCCGAAGTTTGGAGACCCCTGATCTAAACTGTACAACAAACTTTCATAAAGACACACAGATAATATTGTATTTACTTAACTACATCGACAGTAGAGTTTCACGTATGTTGTATAGAACCTGGAACTTGTGCTTAGATAGATGACGAAGTTGACGCTACAGCTAACCATACCCAGAACAGCCGAGAAGGAACGGAGTAAAACAATATTCTCGACAGACACACTGTTGTACGTGATATAGAAATCTATTACACATGTGGGTATCCACACGATGGCTGTCACTACACACACCACAAGAAGTGTTTTGAAGACTTTGACTTCATTCTGCTTTTTGTTTGTTTTTTTACTATTCGCTAGGATTTTATTTCCCGATTCCTTAAGTTTTATAATAATAATGATCGAACACATTACAATAGTGGCTAGAGTAACGACAGAAAAAAGAATATTTAGCACCACATAGGCGTAGGTATGGATTGACGCGTGGTTGTTCTGGTAAAACTGAGTCTCACTAAGCGTCAGTATCGTCGCGTTAAGCTCCTGGTCTAAACTCCACTGCAAACTATAGTTGAAGAAGATGGGCGAGACGAGACCAATCGTCCCGACGTATATCCCGATGACGATGTATCGGGTTGTAGATCTGGTGAAGATTTTGGAGACCTGGAACGGGAAGCTGACGGCGACCGCACGTTCTACGGCTATGAAGGTTGTATGCCAGATGCTGATGGCCGACATCGTTGCGGACAGCGGTAAGAAAACCCCAAAAGAAATAGTGGACATAGAAATCGATGTCGCGAGGTCAAAGTTAAACATTATTCCTTGTAGTTTAGTAACAGGATACAGGACTGAAAAGATCAGATCTGTGATGGATAAGGAGATCAACACAATGTTGGTGCTGTCGTTGAACCCTTGCAGACGAAGAACCCGTATGTTGCTGACGTTTCCCACAATGCCGAGGACAGCGAGGATGTAAACGAGGATATAGTTGTTAACTAGTTCGATGATGTAATTAGTTTCGTCTTCGGTGGTCATTTTCGAATACTTCAGAAACGCTAAAATCAAACAACAAATGTAATTTTAAATACAACTTAAATTAAATATAAACATATCATAGTTCTCTTTAGGGCTTTGAAACCTGCTAAAACAACTTTGAGATATTCACACATTTCAGATAAAAAATCGCTCATTAAACACAACTCTAATACAATTAATTAAAATCTAATTTATAAAAAAAATAATTAAGAAAAAAAATACTATTAATTTAAAATAATGTTGCTACTTTTGTTAAAGTAATATATCACCTACATAAACTGTGAGACTATTATTAATGTCAAGAACAATCAACAAGAAACAATTAAATTTAAATTAGATTAAGTAAATTAAATAACCTGTTCGTATATTAGACTTTACAAATTTACTGCTAGCTCACATCCCGGGCGGCTTTATTTTGCAGAAAATTTTATCCAACAGAATTAAATCTCTGACTTAAGTAAGTAAAACAAACGTAAAAAGTTGGTTGGTTCAAAGTATAATTAACGCACAT